ACAGTGAATAAGCCAAGCAGTGCCACTCATTTCAACTTCTCAGAAATTGGGCATGTCACTTCTAAGTTTGGAATGGTCCTGCCCAGGAACAAAACAAACCATGGCTCCTAAAAAAATGCAGAAATGCTCCCCTAAGGTCTCTAAAAGGATCAAGGGGCTTTGTAATTTAAAATATTTAAAAAATTAGGGTGGGGGTGGTTACATGTGGCTGGAAGTCAACACAAGTGATATATAGCCCACAGAATACACTTTGTTCATCCCTATTCTAGAAGAACAGTTACGGTAGTACAGCATACAGCTACTTTCTTAGTGATCCCTTTCCAGATCACATATCTTTGATCAAAATGTGCAGATTAAGGACATTATTAATTTACTTCCCCCCCCCCATTTTTCCATATCCTCTAGATAAATTATCTCATTATTAATCTACTTCTCTCCCCCCCATTTTTCCATATCCTCTAGATAAATTATCTCACGACTAGGTAGTTGTTCTCCTGTACCATCTTCCAAAGTCTTAAAAAGGATTTGACCAGAAACTGGTTACAGATGTGTGAGCGAAGGTCTGACAGGCACTTTGCAGTAAATTGTCATCTGCATTCATGCATTGCATATGCAATCAATAGCAGCCAAAACAAAACAATTTACATTATAATATAAGTACACAAGATCCAGCATGGTGTGTTGGTTTGAGCGTAGGACTAAGACTCTGGAGATCAGGGTTGATTCCCTGCTTGGCCATTGAAACCTGCTGGGTGACCTTGGGGAAGTCATACTTTCTCAGCCCCAGAAAACCACATGATTTTAGGATTGCCATAAGTCAGAAATGACATGAAAACACAACAACAGCAAGTTCACGAACCCCGAGTTACCATGTCAATTACCTTGGAATCTGTGTGGAATCCCTTTTTAGTTTCTATTCTCTATACTTGTTTCCTTTCCATTAAAAAAACAACAACAACTATCCCTACACATTTGTGCTTAATTCACCTTGGATTAAACACAGTAAAACTCAGTAAAGCATCACAGGAGCTACTGAAAAAATATCTTAGGGCTTTAATATGCTTTTATGTCATTGACTTTTTGAATTCCATCTGATTTTACAGGTCATAATGACTACATGTGTCCTGCTACTAACCAGTGCACCATTGACAAGAACAGAAGGAAAAGCTGCCAGGCTTGCAGGCTGCGTAAATGCTATGAAGTTGGAATGATGAAAGGTGGTATGTACCAAATCATGACTTCTAATTTTTAATATAAATATGTTTTAATTGTCCTCTTTGTTGCACACATTTTAAGGAGAGGGGCAATTATTTTTTATGGGATCCAAGTTTTTAAGGGATGCAGTGGCTTAGTGGTTAAGATGTCAATTCTGACAGTCAGAAGATTGGACAGCTGGCAGTTTTGAGGCCTGAGTGCTGCATGATGGAGTGAGCTCCCATCACTAATCCCAGTTTTTGCCAATCTTTCAGTTCGAAAGCATGCAAATGCAAGTACATAAATAGGTACCACTTTGGTGAGAAGGTAACAACATTTGATGCAATCATGCTGGCCACATTACCACCAGAGCAGTCCGCGGACAATGCTGGTTCTTCAGCTTAGAAATGGAGATGAGCACCACCTGCTACAGTCAGTTACAACTTGACATTCATGTCAAGGGACTACTTTTGCACTTACAAGTTTTTAAAGTAAAAAAGAAAAGGAAAAGGAACATTTTATCTGAAGTCCTTTTTGATCCTATTTATATTGGTTTTGTACCATGGGATTTGTGCTTTTTTGTGACAAGCTATAAAGGAACAGATGTGGAAGAGACTGAAGTCCACTTATTAGATGTTCAAATGCTTTTGGCTAAAGGCAGCTTGAAAAGGTCACCAGTGGTTTGGAAATGAATGTGAAGGAAGGATAGTTCACACCATCCTTTGCACTTGAGTTGAACTGGTGCATATGCCAGTGGGTTATCTGGCTTGAATGCACATTTGGATTGTGTTTTCTGACAATGAGGATGACCAGTCACTTGCTTCGCTGCAATATGTCTGTTCTCAACTTACATGTTGGCCTTTGCAGATTGACTTGCACTGGAAATATGATTAAGCTAAGTATAAAATGCTGATTATACTGAGTATAACATGAATTGAATGTCTTTTAAAAAATCTTTCATTACCCCTTTTCCTGCTTTTCTGTTGGATCACAACAGCACAGACCCATCTAAGTTATTATGTATTAGAATTTCACTAGTGAAGGCCTTGGTTTGATCATACCAAACTAATACAGTGAGCCCTTGTTATTCAGTGACATTTGATTCCAGGACCTTCCGTGGATAACAAAATCTGTGGATGCTCGAGTCCCATTAAATATAATGGCATAGCAAAATGTCATCCCTTATATAAAATGGAAAATCAAGGTTTGCTATTGGGGATTTATACTTTTTTTGGAATGTTTTCAAGCCATGGATGCTTGAATCTGTGGATAAAAAATCCATGGATAAGGAGGACCAACTGTACCTGAGTCCAATAGTGTCAATTTGCTGACAGCAATTCTGTTAGCTGAACTAGAAGCCATTCAATTTTCCCTTCTCCAGCAGCTTTCCAGAGTCTAAGGGATTCAGGAGGCTGTGAGTGGAGAATGGACAATTGGTTCTGCTAATTGAACTGTTTCCATCAGCAGACCAATGCCACTGAATCCAGGTTTAAATTTAAATAATATGACAGTAGGCAAAATAGTCTTTATATAAACTTGATTGAGTGATTGATTGATTGAAGAGTTACATTGATTTTGGACTAATTTTAGTGATGGGTAAATTGGTCAGGTTTTCATTTTCAAACATTGCTAATATTAATTAATTCTGCTGAAAAATAAAAAGGAAATTCTATTCTCTTGCAGAACGTGGGTAAATCTGAAAATTTTGCTCTCTTCTGCATTTCAAGTTTTGAATTTCAGATAAATTCTGATTTTAAAAATGATTTAAAATGAAAGTCTCACTCACTCCTGATTAATTGAAATGATTTCCAGACTTCTGAGCCTAAAAGTTGTAAATTAACATTTTTGGATCTACTTGAAAAGTTTCCAGAATTCACCCTTGTTTAGAGCATTTGTGTAGTCTAAATTCACCAGCTGTTTCTTCTTACTAAGAGGATTTGTTTAAGTCTTTAAAGTTTTATTAATGTTAAGAATTTTATTCCCCACTGTCCTTTTTGTGTATGTAGTTGTTTGAAGGTTTGTGCATATACTTGATCTTGATCTTTTTCTAGTTTTCAGCCATTTATTAAAAGCCAAACAAATAAGACAAGAGAAAATGGAGGATTGTTAAAAGAATTCTCAGAAGCAAAGATGAATTAATTTTTTAATGCATCAACTGGAATGATTCCAAGAATTCTAGTTTGCCTTGCAATTATCTTATATTGCCACATCATAATATACTAAAAATAGTACTTAGTGAATGAGGAAGAGAAGTACTCAAGCTCTAGGGAACTATTTGTGTCGCTTTTGAAGTGACCCTCAATCATGTTTGCTAAACACACTGTTCTGTACTGATGCAAAATTGTACAGGTGGTGGGCATTGATACACTTACTAGTACCTGTGTATTTAAAGAACCAATGAATTGAAAGGACACTGCCAAAGACTTTTCATTTACAAGTCTGTTCATCCTCCGTGTCCCAGTTGTGTAAACATTCCTCACAATAGTACCTGTAATCTTTTGGCAGGCCAGAAGTACAATTTGCAGTCCATGTCTACCAGGGGGAAATGGCAACTTCTCTCACTGCCATAGAAACACATACCAAGGGCTCATTCCCGCTATGCTATAAACCAATTTGCTGATCGATTTATATGTGCTTTGTTCACTTTGGAAACTGTTTCAGACCCGACTGCATTTGGTCTGAGTCACGTTAAAGTGGGGCAAATGTTAAAAAAAAGCTCTTTTTGAAGAAGAATCTTTTGGTGGTTCTTTTGAAAATAATTGATTCAGAAGCATGTTCAACAAGTGTGAACAATGAATCTGATTTGCATCTCATTGGAGGGGAGGGACTAAAGGCAGAAGGTTGGGGCTGAGAGAGTGAGAGGATTTGAACCCTGTTCTCCAGAACCCAGCTCTTCAAAACCACACCATGTGAAGCCAAGAAACCAAAAAACACCACCTCCCCAAGCCTTCTGAACCCATTGGTGTCGTAGAAGGTGTCCAGGATGGCTGTCTCACCAAAGTCCAGCTCTCTGAATTTGAGGGTGGTGAGCTGGGCTCCCTCAGTCTCACCAGGCAGAACAGGGCCCTGCTTTCAGGGCTCCCAGACCCAGCTTTGGGGCTGCTGTGATTGTTGAGGATATAGATGGCCTGGAGGGAGTGAGCCAGGCATGGGACCTCTCCAAGCCCAGGCACCACCTTGGATGAGTTGGGGCTGGTCAGGTGCTTGGCCTTGCCTGCTCCTCTGGAGCCAGGAGGGTGGTGAGGGTAGTGGAGGTTCCATAAAGGGGCCAGAATGGATCACCAGGTGCCCATTTCCTCACCTTACATGTCACTCAGGACTTAGGAGAGTGCTCTGGGCTTTGCACATCCCACAACTTGGGGCTCATTCTCACTAGTGGGAATGACTTGGAATAAGGAAATAATACACTTCCATAGTGGGAACTACGCATCGGCCTTAATTGAATCTGTGACCCAGTGTCAATGCAAATCACAAACCAGTTTAAAAGCTAGTGGGAATGAACTCCAAATGTGCAGCTGAATGAGAAACTACATATGATTATTCTGCTCTTGCTGCTTCTATTATTGCTTTTCCCACCTTGCTCTATTCCCATAGGAGTGTAGATCCATTTTGGAAAAAAAAAAAGACAAAATTCCAAAGAGAAGCAGCCTTTGTCAAAGGAATTCTCATTTCCTCTGAAGTGAAACAGGACTTATCTGAAGTAGGCCAAAGTAAAGTAAGCTGTCCTAAAAGTTTGGATTTGGCACAGAATTTAGAGAAAATGTTTTCATGAGGAAAGGGATTTTTTTCAGGGTGTGTGTGTGAAAGCCAGTGTGGTGTAGTGCTTTGAGCATTGGACTGTGACTCTGGAAACCAGGGTTCAAATCCCCTCTTGGGCAAAAATCCCCACTGGGTGACCTAGGGGAAGTCACACTCTCTCAGTCTCAGAGGATGGCAATGGCAAACCCCTTCTGAAGAAACTTGCCAAGAAAATCCTATGATAAGTTTGCCTTAGGGTCACCATAAGTCAGAAATTACTTGGAGACACACAGCAACAAGATAAGTGAAACTTTATATTGGCTCCCAAGATGTTGGGATACAACACCCACAATCAGTGACCAAAGGGTTTGATGACCAAGGAAGATAGAAGTTGTAGTTGAACAAAATCTGATAAGCTAGTGCCATGTACCATTGCTTTAACATCTCCTCAGAACCACCCCCTGAACTCTTTGAAATCTGATAGACTTAATCCCCTCAGAACAGAGTAGTATGCCAGGATGTTTCATCTAATTCTGCAAGAAATAGAAGAAATTACATTCATGTTTTGGTTTCCTTATTACAGATAATAGGGATATATTTGAAGTGCTACAAAAACTGACCTAAGGTTCTGTTTTCAATCTGAAATGAGGTGATCTTTGACAAAGTGATCCCTTGCCAAGTGAAGTTCAGTTCTCCTGTTCCTGCTATGAACTTGTACATACATAATAGGAAAGTTCAAACCATTTTGAACTTTGTAAAGTTGTAATAATGCTTGGAAAGACTTGTACAGTCATCCCTCCATTCTTGTGGACTTGAAGTCTGCAGTTTTGCATATTCATGGAGGGGCGATCTCCGTTGAAATCGATGGGGTGCGCACCCGTGAGAGTGTGCCCAATTCAAGCCTATGGGGCTTGAATATTGGTGAGTCTCCATTTTTGCAGGGTGGTGGTCTGGAATTGCTTCCCCGTGAAAATGGAGGGCCAACTGTACAATCCTGTGGGCTAGCCCTGCATTATTTTTTTTAAATTAAATCTATATGCCATCATTTTACTCTCGCCAAACTATGACACTCTATGTGGCTAGAAGCAATAAAATCCAAATAAAAACAAATACAACTAAAACATAAATAGGGATTTAAACTAAAATGTATCCCTGCCATCTCCATCTCAGCTGATGTGTGAACAGACTGTATCTGTGTAGCTTTTCAAGTAAGAGGGACTTGACCTAATCAATGCTTTTCCTCACATGGAGGAACTCTATTGATGTACACCAGTATGCATAATGTGCATTTGTGTTTTATAGTCAATATAACTTTTTAAAAAATGCATACAGAGACACCTTTACCTACCAGCTAAATGCATGGATAGCAAACAGTGTGTGCAGGAGGGTCATCTGAACTCTACTTGTGCCACTCTTGTTGAGTCACGTGGGCAGAGGCATTAGCTTGACCTACTGCTATATGTTAGGCTTTATCCCATCTGGAGGAAAACATTAGCTTTATCCCATCTGATTCTAAACTTGCTGCGTGAAAATACAGTGAGAATGGACTTTATTTTGTTTCCATGAATGGAACAGGCTTTGATAAGAAAGCACTTCCATCTCCTTTTTTCCTCTGCAGTCTTTTCTGCCTTCTGCAAATATCTTTTCAGGGAGCTGGGAATCTTTGGGAATACAATGGGATAATAGGAGGAGAGATTTGAGGGTACTTGTCTATCGTTCATATGAATGAGAGACCAACCTAGAATTAAATCACATTTAAATCAATGGTACATTCTTTTTCATTTTATTTATAGGGAAAAAACCACTTTATATCACATCTGGTAGAGCTTACATACCACAGAGAGCAGCTAACAACAGTTAAAATCAATCATATAATACAATAAAATTCTGAAACAGCAATAATAGAATAAAAGCAGGCAGATGCTGCAGATAAAACATTGGATGAAACTCATAAAACTCATATGACCTCATTGTGGTCTTGTTAAAAAATTAAATGATCCATGCTTAAACAGTCATTTTGTCTCATGCATGTAGACCGTGTTTTCTTACTGATAAGAACTGGCCACCTGTCATATAGAGTACATCTTAGCTGAATGATCTCATTAGAAAATGCCAAAGCACTGTTTAGTACTTCATATTCATGTTTCTACCTCTACACGTCTGCATCTCAATATTTAATAAAGCATCTTCATTATAAAATCAAATTTCATATCACATTATAATTCTGGGATTGCATGATGTTTGGCAATACATTAATTTTAAATATCATCTTGCTATTTAGCCTGAATACAGCATCACAGTTTATATAGAAATTAATGAATTAATTAATAATTAAAAGTATCTTTTCATCACCGCTCATCCTGTTTTCTATTAAAAACAAATTTAACTGATTTTTTTAAAAATCAAAAGTTTTAAAAATCCTCATTATTAATTCTAAACGTCAACTAAAAATTGGCTTAAGAACCAAAAGCCATGCAGAGCTATGTGGTCTTGTCTTCTTGCCATAAACTCAGTAAGGATGGCGCCAATCTGATTCTCCTGGGAAGGAGGTTCCACATTTAAGGTGCTACTAAACAGAAAACTCTGTCTCATGTATCATTTTCTTGGGATGGTAGAGATGCAACAGAACCTTTGCTGAGACTCTTGAATTCTGGACAAGCTCATATGAGAGGAGGCACTCCAAGCTATTTTAGATGCCCCATGTTGTTTAGGACTCCTGAATCAAAATCAGCACTGGTTTGGCATCCATTATAACTGATACATGATAGTATTAGCTTTCAAAGTAGTAGCAGTGTTAGTTGCTTGCAGGATAAAAAGTAGGAAGGGGGAGTGGGGGAGAAGAAGTGAAAAGAAGTGTGGTAGCACCTTTGAGACTAACTAGTTTGCATATTAACATTAAATCCATGAAAGCTCAAGCAAAAATAAAAACCTGTTAGTGTTAAAGGTGTTGCCACATTTTGTTTTATACCCTCCCTTTCCTTCCTCTTTTTAATGTAGTATTAGCATTAGCATTAGAATTAATAATATTTCAGTTTCTTGGATGCCTTGAAATACAGCTTTAGGCATCTTAGAAATAAATAGATACACAAAAGTTTACAAAAATGAAAATAATTGATTATGATTTTTGATGATTTATGCTACCATAACTGAGGGATATGACTGCAAAAGTACTTTAACAGATGTTTCATTGGGAGATTAATTCAAAATGACCTTAACAGATTAGAGAGTTGGGCTAAATTAACAAAATGAATTGCAACAGAAAGAAATTTAAGGTACTACACAGGCAGAAAAAAAATGAAAGGATCTTATATAGGATGGAGGACACCTGTCTTGACAATAGTACATGCGAAAGGGATCTGGAAGTCTTAGCCGACCACAAGCTGAACATGAGTCAACAGTATGATGCAACAGCTTAAAAAGCCAATATGATCCTAGACTGAATCAATGGGAGAGTAATGTCTAGATCAGGGGTCCCTGGACTTTTTGATCCAGGGGCCAGTTCACTGGCCCCCAGATCTTCTGGGGGCCAGAGCATGCACACATGCGCGCACATGCATCTGCACAACTCTGGGCACAATTTTGCAATGCTGGACACTATTTTGGCTTCCAAAATGGTGCCCGGAGTTATGTGCATGTGGCGGTGGGCCGGTAGGAAGGCCTCGGCAGGCCAGGTCCGGCTCGCAGGCCATAGTTTGGGGACCCCTGGTCTAGACTGAAGCAAGTAATAGTACCACTCTATTCTGATTTGATCAGACCTCACCTAAAATATTGTGTCCAGTACTGGTCATCACAATTCAAGAAGGATGTGGCCAAGCTGGAGTGTGTGTCCAGATGAGGGTGACCAAAATGATGAAAGGTCTGGAAACCATGCCTCATGAGGAGCAACTTAGGGGATGGGTATGTTTAGCTTTGGGAAGAGAAGGTTAAGAAGTGACATGATAGTTATGTTTAACTATTTGAAGGGATGCCATATTGAGGATGGAGCAAGCTTATTTTCTGTTGCACCATTGACTAGGACATGGAGCAATGAATTCAAACTACAGGAAAGAGAATCCACCTAAACATTAGGAAGAACTCCTGACAGTAAGATCTGTTTGCCAGTGGAACACATTGTCTCAGAGTATCTTTGGAAGTTTTTAAACAGTGGCTGGATGGCCATCTGCTATGAGTGCTTTGATTGTTTATTCCTGCACAGCAAGAGTTGGATTAAATGACCCCTGGGGTATCTTTCGTTTCTATGATTTTGTTATTCTACATCCAGTAGCTCCTTGTGCAATTATTTTTCCTGGTGGTAGAAAGGCAGCTGGATGATGCCAGGCACACCTCTGTCCTTAGCCGAAAGAGGCGCTGCTTCTTGCAGTAGTGCATGGTAAAGCTCCCTTTCTTTGCTATCTTTGTCCTCCTGGACCTCCATGCACCCTGTATATAAGTACCCTGGTGAAATGTTATGCTTCACCAGCTCCAAATGGGATCCCATCCAATATATAATACAAAGAACATTCTGCTGTATAAGGATAATAAATTGGCCTAGGGCTGATATTTTACAAGCTGTTCTACAAGTTATTATAGCTCAACTTTTAAACAACCCTTTCTTTGGTCTATGCTTATTTTGCAATGTTTTACATATGTGATTCTGCCATTAACACATGCAATATTAAGGCATGTAGTGCTGTTGCCAAAGTGTTTAATGTGATTAAGCAGACATTAAAGCAAAAGTCTGTGTAGTAGTGCAATGGAACTTCACTACAGAAATTCTATAATAATTTAGAAAAAATGTACTGTACTATCTTAAAATGACCTTTGGGATCATGGCAGTGGCAACACTTTGCTGACTTATGGTTGTAAATTATAGATGTATAAAAGATAGTAAGCTGGTGTCCTTATTCCTTGAGGCACACCCCACAAAACAGCTTTCACATAAAGTGCCTTGTGAATAGATACTGTTAGAACATTTATTACTCTCTTTCATTATGTAATTGCATTGGGTTTTTTCCTGCCTCATCACCACATCCTTGGTTGTGACTGACCTCGCTAAGGAAACATGCAACGTGATGACTGCAAGACATATGTTAAGTATTACTGCATGTTATGCAAGGGCAGAACATGACACAGGAATATGCTTATTTGGTGGCAATGCTGT